GGGCTCTTCTTAAAATAGTGAAACTGAATTAAACGAACCTCTAGCTTTAATTACTAGTTTATAGGAAATATAGGTGATAAAAAGGAGTACCTTGTGGTATCCAGTACCACAAGGAATGACGAACATTCACCAGGACAAATGGCTCCAGTTTCTCTGACAAATTCATGACACGGAAATAAATAGGGTGGGTTGGAGAGACTGTTCAGGATAATAGAAGCCAAGGAGAGACCTAACACCCAAATGCACAAAAGGAATAGCGGGACCATGACTGGTTTAGACTTTTGAACCAAAGAACTGTAAAATGACTTTTCCTTGGACAAACAATAATAATATAGATTAGGTATTCAATGATATGAAAGAGTTACTAATTTGTAAGTGTTATATGGACACGTGGTTATATCCTTTCAATCCCTATGACTTACAGTTATACAGAAGAACTTACGACAGATTAAACAAGCATGGCAAAATGTTAGCAATCATTAAATCTGGGTGGTGAGGGGATTGGGTACATCATTCTTGTAAACTTTTAAACTTTTTGTGTTTCAAAATTTTCACAATGACAAGTCAACTTAATTCTTTAGTAAGTGGAGGCTGGTATTATTAAGTAGGTTCCAGTAGAGCAGCCTCTGTTTTCTTGGGTGAGAGAAGACCACACTTACCCCTTCCATTTTACAGAGATGATCGAGGGAGAGAATCCCCTCTGGGAAAGTAGCTCTGGAAGGATCCGAGAGTTCTGCCAGACCAGGGTGGCACCACCACGGGTGAGCACCGAAAGACCCAGCACATCCTTAGGCTTCAGGGTTCACTACCAGCTCCCCGGGTACCATGCAACTGAAGGTCCTTCTTGCTTCTCACCCCAAGCACATGCCTGCACATGTAAAGGGGATCGTGTTTCCCTCTAAGCACAAAGCGATGATGAGGGGTTGTGTTTCTCACAAGCTGGCGTCAAACAGAATCACGGGCAAGGCCAATGCTATGTTGTAAAGTGAAGCTCTGTAATCACTGAAAACAGTAAAATTATGTTTCAAGACAGAGTTTCAGAGCTGGAAAGAAGGTCAGATATCATTAAATCCAGATGTTTTAAAGCCTAGGGCTCTGGGCATATACTACAGGGTGACCTTGGCCTTTTGTGTATTTTTTTTTTAAACCCTCAAAAATTGTAAGTTTACCTTAAGACAAAAATATATATATTTTTTCCTTTTTGGCTGAAATTATGTCTTTTGAGGTGGCGAATTGCCTTGGTTTTTTTTTCCCCCTCAATCTGATCAGTGTTTAAAAATAAGTCAATTTCTATTTAATGAAAAGCCTTTAAAATTTGGGCCCATAGAAGAAGCTAGCAAAAGGGCTCAATGTTGGAGCCGAGATTGAGAAGCACTGATCTGGTCCAATTTCCCCAGGTCACTGTAAGGAAAGGGAGTCTCCTAGGTGGCAAACTAATTGATCAAGGTTGTAGGGTTGGTGATGAGCCAGAACCCCTGCCTCTCAAGACCACTGTTCTTCACCTTGCATGACCTTCATCCCTTGACATTCTGCTAGAGTACAGCCTCACTGTTCTATGAAGCACGCCCACTGAACATGCACCTAAAGTACAGAACTACTGTGAGTGATGCTGACCTGCCCCAAAGAAGCAACACCTAAGGGAAACATGCAAGCACTTTAATCTCGTCTTCCAACCTAGGAAGGCTGATTACAATACTACTAACCAGCTATAATTTATTAACTGCTCACCATGTGCCGGGTACATAGTACTGATGAGGTAGGTACCATAAGTATCCCCGTTTTAGGGATGAGGAAACTGAGGCACAGAAAAGTCAAGTACTTTGTCTGAGTTTATGCAGTTAGTCAAGAGCAGAGCCACAAGCTACACGTGAATCTGTCTAGAGGTGGAACTCTTTACAGTCCATGATGCTTTGCATGGTTTGCAGGTCCCTAAACAGGACTCAAATTTTATTCTACTGTAAGATTTTCTCATACTATTCAAGTTGCAAATGGGGATAAAAGATCCTTTATCTCCTGCACCTTTGATTTTGGTTCAGCATCTATAGCTATAGACCCCACTCAGTTAAGCTTGCATCCAGGTGTAAGGTGCCCAAGCAACATTTTTGTAGCACCTTTGCCCACCTGGCTAGAAGCAGCATTCGAATTCAGCACTACATACACCAAACTGTTAAGTGACTTTATCTAGGGGTGCCTGGGTGGCTCAGTTGGTTGGGCATCTGACTCTTGATTTCGGCTTGGGTCATGATCTCACAGTTCACGGGTTCGAGCCTCACATCAGGCTCTGCACTGACAGTGCGGAGCCTGCTTGGGATTCTCTCTCTCAGAATAAATAAATATTTTTTAAAAAGATTATTTTTTTAAAAGTGACTTTATCTGGAAATGGAGGAAAGAAGTAGGGAATAAAGAGATGTCACCATTAGGATTACCAAGAATTATTTTGACATCAGGGGAAAAGATTTCCCTAACGAGCATTATTCCAGTGATCAATCTTTTCAAGTAGTCACTGCATTTTAACTGGAAGAGCACTAAATTAGGGATTAGACCAGGGCCCTGTCCTTGTTCTGCTACAAACTGGTCTCAGGCCTTGACAAATGACTTGTCTCGAGGCCTCTGTTTCCTCATGTGTAACATGGGAGCTCAGACAGAGCTCTCTGATGCCCACTCTCCTCTTAACCACAAGTGTTGGCAGAGCAGAGGTTCCCACATCACGTACCTTTGGATGTATTGCCTTTGATCTGACGCTGCTCTGCATCACTAGAGACAGGCTTCATGGAGAGAAAAGTTCTCCATCTGTGTGGGGGATGTAGGTAGGGGGTGTGAGCATCCCAGGTTTTGGCCTAAGCATCCCAGGGGTGTGGGGTGACAGGCCTCTTCAGCAACCCAAACGATGCCCAGTTTGCCCACATAGTCCACTATGAAGTGATGAGTATGTCCTTCCCTACACAGGTTGGTATCGAGTAATGAGAAGGTCCCCAGAATACCTAAAAACACTGGGCTGACACTGACTGTTAAGCAGTCACCTGAATTGGCATGACCCTGCCTGAAGCAGGAGCTGGAAAATAGGACTACCAAGCCTCACTCAGGCTCCAAAAAAGAGTTGGCTGACTCAAAACTAAAATATTAGCTGCTACTTTTCAAGCCCTTGGACCTTGTGATCTTTCCCTCCACAGATTGCCTCGATTTCCTGCTATCCTCACTCCCCATGGATAATTTCAGAATGCGGCTTTATCAAGAAGTTATTCAGATTGAGCAGGTGCTGGGTAAATGCCAGTGGCAAAGCAGGAGACACGGGGCTGCCTGTGATGTTGTTGTCAAGTGCTGGGAAGCCAGAGAACACTCAACGTTTCAATCCTGGCTCTGCTGTTCACGGATTGTGTGATGTCGGCCAGCTACTTACCCTCTCCAACCCCTAGTTCTCCTCAGCTGTGACACAGGTCACAACACCTATTCTGCAGGACAGAAGAAGGGAACAAGAATATAAGTTCTTCCTGCCTCTCTTGCCACCTACTCACCTCAGAACAATCCACTGTGGTTTCCCACTGCCCTCACTCAGCTCCTCAGTGACCTTACAAACCTCAACCCCCTCAACAGCAGTGGACATTCTTACTCACTTTTTTCGTGAAATGCTTTTCTCTCCACTTCTGCTGACACATAATCTGCAGGGTTTTCTATCTGGTTGGATGCAGATTTCATGTCCCCTGCAGAGCCTTTCTCCTGCAAGTGAACCTGGAGGGCGGCGCCTCTCCCCTCTGCTCCCGCTACTCCCACAGCTTCCATGCCCACCTTGTCACTAGTCTGCTGTGATTCCCTCTACGGAAGACTTTCCTCCCCCAACTCTGCCGATTTCTGGCAGCTGGTTTGTGAGCTCCACTGCAGGCGCTTTAGACTTGGTGCCTCCCCAACCAAAATCCTGTCTCATTCCCATCCCAGTGCCACTCAACATACTAACTCAGAAACGGGGCGTTAGCTCTCCCTTCTCCCCTCAGTTCATGAATTCTGTCCCTTCTCCCTCTCTGGCAATGTATCTGCCCAAAGTCCTCACCACGGCCTACAGTCCCCAGCCTGCCCTCACCCCTTTCCATCCTCTGCCTTGGCCACTCTGCTCCTCCTTGCTCTTGCTTGAACCCACTGGGCCTTGCCAGTACTGTTCCCTCTGCCTGGAACCCAGCTCCTTCTACAGACATCAAGCTCGCTCACGCCTCTCCGCAGTTCAGGTCTCTGCTCCTGTTCGTGTTATTAGAAGCCTTCCCTGACTACCCTCTGTAAAATCACATTCCCCATTTTAACCTCTCCTCCCGCGTGACTTTTTTTCACTGCATTTACTATCATGTGGAATGTATTTGTTGTCTGCTGTGCTCCTCAGGATGTAACCCTGAGAGCAGGCTCTTTCTACACTATATCCCTCACTAGTATACATAAAGTGCACACGTATGTGTCAGATAAATAATTCCATTTCTCTGCATTTCTACTGCTACCACCCCATTCCCCGCCACCTCAGCTGCCTCCTGATTTCCCTACAACCACACCTTGCCAGCCGATCCGTTCCTCCAGCGGTCTCTTTAAACATAAATCTAGCCACGTCATTCCCCTCCTCAAAACCCTTCCAAGAGCTTCTCAATGTTTTGAGAATAAAAAGTCCCAACTCCTAAAGCAAGGCCTGCATGACCTGGCCCTGCCCCCTTCCCTCTCTGCTGCAGCCACGATGGTCTGTTGTTGACGTCACCGGACTCTCACTCCAGGGCTTTTTCACACACAGCCCCCTGCACCCCCACTCTCTCTCGCACCCTCCCATCCACCAGATCACAGCAGTGCCAGGGTTAACAGCCTTACTCCAGCACTGGGCCAGGAGGGTCCGAGTCTCAGCTCTGCAGCCTAGCAGCCGTGCCACCTTGAGTAGGACACTTAAAGCTGTTTCCTCACTTGTAAGACCAGAATGCTACCACTACCGACCGCACAGGGTTGCCACGAGGATCATATAAACTCAAAGAACTGGCCCACAATCAGGGTGGAGTGTTTATTTAATCATTATTATTCCTTGCGGACACTGTCCCCGATGCCCATCTGTAAAAGGCATCGCCTCAGTCTTGCTCACAGCTGTATCCCGGCACCCAGGGTGCTGGTTTATGGTCTATGCATATCAGGATGGGAGTCTGTGAGCAGACTCTTTCTTGGGTGGCCCAAGCCCACAGAAGGGTTCAGATCTGGCCCTAGCTGCCTCCAGTGAGTCTGGTGTCTATCAGCACAGAAAGAAAACCAACTTCACAGCCCCTAGATGGTGAAAAAGTCTGCCAAAACCACCTACAGCCTGAGTTAGAGGGAACTATGAGCTGAGCTCAGCCTCTGGCATTTTAACCCTCCAATCATTCCGTCTAGTTCTAGATGAAAGTGCCTGTCCCTCAGGGAGCTCCAGGGGGGGGGGGGCGGAGCGATGATGCCAGCACTAAGCACCCGGGCAGGGCAGTCCGGCTGCCAGCTCCCTACCTCACTGGGTGGGGTCACTCCCGTTGTGTTTAAAGAACAAGCACCCTGAGCAGTTCCTGGTGAAGGAGGTAGAACATGCTCTACCGGAAGGCAGTAAAAAGCTCTTAAATCTAGAACAGGTTTACCTTACGGTCTTGGGAAACAATGTGGTGGTCCATAAACAGGAAGGGAAATCCCCGACCTGCTTCTCAGAATAGACTAGACTCCGTCAGGCAATCCAAAGAGAAAGACGCAGGTGCCCGGCAGCCAGAAAACACTAGCTTTATGTAAAACTCTGCTGAAGGAGGTGAGGGGGTCAGGTGCCTGTCTCCACCTCCACCACTTCTGCCCAGGCACTAAAGCCCATGTCCTTATGAATGAGCACCAGGCTGGAGGCGGGGCCTGGCTCCTCAGGCACCACAAAGCACTTCTCCTGGCTCCCAGAAATGGTGACCTCGAAGACATCCCGGGCTGGGGAGACGTCCTGTTCGCTGCATGTATCTAGCAGTTCTGGCTCAGTCTGCACCAGTACCACGGTGGGCTCGGAAGCAGCAGGTGGCACACTGGGTGGGCTGGAGGGTGCCCCAGGCTGGTGACTGAGCTGGTGTCGCTTGAGGCTCTGGGGGAGGGTGTAGCCCATGCCACAGGTGGGACAGCGATAGGGCTTGTCGGCCAGGTGGGACTTGAGGTGGCGCCTCAGCTTGGTGGCCAGTGTGTAAGCACGGCCACACTGGGGGCACGGGAAGGGCCTCTCCCCTGAGTGCAGACGCTCATGAGCACGCAGTGTATGTGGGTCTCGGAGGGCCTTCCCACACACAGGGCACAAGTAGGCCTCCCCGGTGTGAGAGATAAGATGGCGCCGCAGCTCAGGCAGCTGCGGAAAGGCATCGGCACAGTGCGGGCAGCGGTAAGGACGCTCCCCCGTGTGCAGCCGCAAGTGACCACGCAGGGTGCCCCGCTGGCGGAACGCCCTGCCACAGTGTGGGCACAGGAAGGGCTTTTCTCCTGTGTGGAGTCGCATGTGGTTGCGCAGAGAGCCCTGGTTGGCCAGGGGGCGCCCACACACAGGGCACGGGCACGGGGCAGGGGCCGCCGGCACCTGGTGGGTCTTGCGATGCAGTCGCAGGGAGGGCCGGCGGGCAAAGGCCTTGCCACACTGGTCACAGGCAAAGGGCCTGGCACCTGAATGTACCACCTGGTGCTCTTTGAGGTCTCGCCGGGTGCCGTAGGCCTTGTCGCATTGTGGGCAAGGAAAGGGTCGCACTCCACGGTGGCCCAGCATATGGGCTTTGAAGCTCTCCTCTGAGCTATAGCTCTTGCCACACTCAGTGCAAAGGAAGGGTTTGTGGCCTGTGTGCACGAACGCATGCTTCTTCAGGTGGCACAGCTGCAGGAAGGCTTTGCCACACTCCCCACACCGGTATCGTCGTCTCTGTTTTGGGGGGCTTCCTCCTGGGCCAGGAGGGCTCCGCAAGCATGCAGGGAGGCCGGCCTGTTGCTGCTCCCCAGCCTGCTGGGCCCTGAACTCTGAGGTCTTTGCTCTGGGTGGGCACTGCTCACTGGGGCCACATAACTTCTTGACCAGGTAAGCATGCAGGTGGGTGGCCCTGGCAGAAGACGAGGAACTGGCCTCACTACTCTCTGGGCCCTGCTGGGTAGTGGAGCTGCTCTGAGGTTCAGGTGACATCTGTGTCTGGGGTGGATCCTCCTCATCCATGCTGCCACCCCGAGGGAGCAGGCCAAGTGGTTGGCTCTCCTCAGGAAGTTGATCCTGGGTTTGAGGCTTAGGTCCGGGGCTTACCATATTCTCTGCCTGGATGCTGGGGGGTGACTGGTGACCGGGATCTGCAAGGCAAGAGTGGGGGCGCTGGGGTTAGTAGAAACTGTAGCAGGGGGTGGCAGTGGTGTCACTAGGAAATTCTAAGAATATGTGTCTCCTCCTACTCAGCCCCTGAACCTGAACTTCAGCAGGAGCAATGACACCACTCTCTTCCCTGGAACATGTACCATGTGCTCTGTTTATCTTCATGTTCAGTCTTAGGTGCCTCCTGGGGAAGCACTCTTGGGAACCCCAGTGCCCCAAAACTCTGGATAGTCCTAGAACAAGGCTCTCGGGCTCCTATTTTCCCTCTGGAGATGCACACTTAGGACGAATTAGGCCACCACCTCCTCGCCTTAGTTCATCTGAAAATAAAGGAACCTCTACACCCACCGCAGATAGAAGAAACATGAGAAATTGGAAACCTTATATAGAGCTTGCTGTCTTCATCGACATGACCTTACTATTCCAGAAAACGTACTCAGGAAGATAAAAGTTGCAAATATCAATACTATTCATTCTAAGGAAAAGACCCAATCACACTGCGATAAAAGCATCAAATGATAGGTCACACCCCAAGACTCTCTGAGCCTTTTACTGCAAATTCTAGCCTTGTATCTACAAGCCCTAAGCCATTATGTCACGATCCTTATTCAATCTGATCAAGCCCTGTCCCATCTACACTGAAAGATCTACCAGACTTCAAAATTTCAATAAATATCCAGGCTTTGCCCTTCCATCTCAGAGAAACTATTAAAAACTCTGTGATGCTCTCCTTTACCTCCCTGAGCCACAGCTTTGCCTTGTCATATCAAGGTTGATTTGGCGATAATTTCGGAAGCCAGCGTTGTATCTGACACATACCTGTCCAAGGTTCTGCTGCATCCTCCCCAGGGGAGTCCACTTCCTGTTGTGAAGCGGAGTCCACTTCGGTCACCACAGCCATGGCTGCCTCTTCTTCTAGCCTGGGCTGGGTGGGGCTCAGGCCATCAGAGGGAGGCTGGGGCCACAGCAGCAACTCAAAGCCTGGCAGCACAACCCGGTACACCTGCAGATGGAGCTTCTCGTTGATCCGCACCAGGGCTACGTTTCCCTCACCTTCCAGCCTGCCCTGCTGCACCAGACTGCAAAGCAGAGGAAGAGCTAGCTCAGGAGACCCTCTTCAAGTGACCCTCCCTAAAGCCCCAGCTCCTGGGCAGTCTGAGTCCTAAAAGACCCCATGCCTTTGGAACACTCACTGCAAAAAAAAAAAAAAAAAAAAGAAAAATTGCTGGGTGGGGAATTACAGTGGGCTTCTGGTTCCAACTCATGCCATAACAGAAAGCCTCAAAGGACCATCTTCACTACGTACTCTCCTGTAACTTACCTGATCCAGCCTGAACTCTGCTCACAAGCACACACGTCTCCCCATGGGCCTAGTGACACGTCCTGAAATAAACCAATAAGAGTCCTTCTCCCATGTGTTTGGGGAACCAGAATCCCGGGCGGGGGTGGGGGTGGGGGTATGTAACCTCTCCTGAGACAGATCTAATATGAAGCCCCTGGAAGGTTAACGGTCTCTGATTCTTCCTCTACAGGACTGTGTTGTCTGATTTTTCATTCAGTAAAGACCGAAAGACTCTCCCCTCACCTCCCTCCCAATATGTGGAATATCACAAGTTGAATACATTACTGCCTTCCAGTGAGTGTGCCAAACAATAAAAAGTTGTAAGAGGTACATCAACTTTCCTTTACTTTTTAAGACTTACTATGCAATGAAACCCTTTACCCACACTATTTCATCTATTGCTCCAAATAACCCTGGAAAGTTGGGGGGAAAAAAGGAAACAGCTATTTTTTACTTTTACAAATGAGTTAAATGAGGCATGCCATTTTATCCAGCTTTCGGCACTTTTTGCACCTTGATTCCTTAACTACTGCAAGTGAGGGGAAGAGGCAGTCCTGGAAAGAAGGGGCATAACCATCTCCTATCTCTTGAAATGCCCTGCTTCTTCTAACAAACTGAAGAGCTGTTTACAAATGGCTGAACCTCTTGCAGGATCTGTCACGGAGACACGTCCTATCTTTCAATACCTCCTCCAGCCGTAGTTTCACTCCTTCCTCCTTCTGCTTGGAGACAGACTCCTCTTCCAGAGGCCCCCAGAGCAGTCCCGGCTGCAGGGGCTCCCCGACACACCAGACCCCCAAACACGGTTCCTCGGCGAGTGAAGGGCCAAGGGCCAAGCCCCGGGGAAGGCTCTTTAGAGCGAGGAAGGCCCGGGTCGGCCCGGGCGGGAAATCTTTGAGGCCTCGAGCAAAGCCTTGTCCAGAAGGGATCCATCCTAATTCCGGGCCCAGGCGCGGGTCGGGGGCTGCAGGGAAATGGGAAGGCAGTAAGGGAGCCAGTCCAAAGGGTCATGAGGGAGGGGACAGATACGGGGGGAAACCGCAGGTCCAGCTAGGCCTCGGCAGTCTGAGGGATGTTAGAGCTCTAACGGAGCCCCTAGGAGGTTTGAGGGTATTCGAGGACTCTTAACCCCCCAGAGACATCTGAGGGCACCGGAGGATTCCAGGCTAGGGAGGAAAAGGGCCTGGGGGTAGAGAGTTGACCAGGGAACAGCAGGTCCATCTAAGGACGGGGCCGAGGGTCAGAGACGCCGCAGGTCACTAACCGCACTGCAGTCTCTCGCCCCCGGAGAGCAGCTCCTCTGCCTCCTCCATCCCTCCAGAAAAGCCTCCTTCCGCCGGAAGTGAGCGTCTTCTTCTCCGCTCCTCCCGGAAACAACCATGGGCTTCCAAATTTCCTGTCGGGAGAGAATCCGAAGAGTCTGACTCATTGATGCACAGAACCGGGAGGTGGGGAATACCGGCGAGGCAAAACTCCGTCTGACAACAATAAGAACCACAGGATTCCAGCGGACCACTAGGGATTCGAGCTCCAGGGAAAGCGGAACTAATTGTTCCAATCACCTCCTTTTGGGAGGGACGGGTCGGACACTTATGCTGTCCCTCTCCCAGGCGGGCATTTAAGCCAGCACGTGCAGGAAAGTGGGAGGGGATCCTGGAAAGCCATGTTTGGACCTGGCAGCAAGCCGGAAGTGGCTTGGAGGTGTGGCGGAAGTGGTTGGGGAGTGAGGAGCCCCGGAGGGGGCGGTTCCCGTTCTACCGCGGAGCCGGATGTTTGCCGAGCTTTGACAGGCGTGGCACAGGGAGCAGTGCCCGACCACGGTGAGCTGCGGAGCGCGGGGGTCTTCCTGGGTGGTGGGGGGGAAAAGGGAGGGACTAGACAGGTCACTTTAAGGCATAGGGTCAGGAGGGGGATGATTCGAGCGGATCCTAGGAAGGGAGCAGGAGTGGTATGGGGCCTGGCTTTCCCACAGCGGGTTTCAGCCCCCTCCTGGGTCTGCACCGAGGTGACTTGTCTTCTTTGCTGCTTTCCTCCTGCACTTCCCAGGGCAGAGTCTAGGTCAGATCCCTGTCATCGAGCAAGCCCACGGTAAGGGGAAGTCTCTTTGGTCCGAACTGGCGAAGCGCTAAGAGCAAGAAATTTGGGGGAAGTATTCCAGCCTGCCACTAATTAGGCCACGCTTTCATCTCTATTTCTTAATCTCTGAAATGGGATAATTACACCTATTACGGGTTTTGTAAACCACGAAGCTCTGTACAAATGCATTTGTAGTCGAAAGTCTCGCTGTTGTATCATGGGATTTGCATTTTCGCAATTTTGGAGCCCCAACTAGGAGGGCGGTCCCAATGCCAGAGAATACGATTTCAAGTTATCTCAGTTCTTCGTGAAGATTAGGGGAGAGGCTTTACTTTGTTTTTTCATGGCACCTCTCTGAACCTTCAGAATCACACGAATGACAGTCATTTAAAGAAGTGTTGAGGGACTGACCTGCATCAAGAGACCACTTTATACAGATATAGATTAAAATCTTGACTCAGCTGTATGACCTGCCTAAACAGTTTGCTTATCTTTTCTGGCCCTGACTTTCCTCGAGCAGTAAAGTGGGCCTGGTAATGCAAACCTCATGGTGCTGTTGTGAAGTTAAAAGGTAATTTGTCTACTTTATAGCACTATAGAGGCTCTCAACAAATATTGGTTCCCTTCTCCATTTAGGAGACGAATTCACTCATTCAGTCATTCAACAAATGACAGCATCTGTGTGCTGAATAGGTCAGGGATTCTTAGATTCTCAGAGGGCCTTAAAATTGCATAGAAGATTTCATGCATGTGCTGATTTTTCTTAGGGAAAAAGTCCACAGATTTCGTCAGAATTTCAGAGAAGTCCAGAGGTGAAAACCTCTGCCTAAAATGATTCTCAAAGATCTTTGTAAAAGTAGATATTACCCGTGGAGAAGAGAAATACTAATCTCAGAGTAAGGAGTATTTTGCACAGAGTGGAACAGGGCTTGTAGGTGACTGGAGTCTTAGGCAGCCAGGATACTTCATGGCCACCCCTTTATATTAGAATTTCCCTGAGCCAGCTTCCCTCACCCTCCCACTGAGTGGGAGCTAAACTTCAGGGTTCACAGGGGAAAGCAGCTGTGAGTTGGAGGCCAGTCTGGCTGGGAGGTGGAAACAACTGTGATTAGTTATGCTGGAAAAGGAGGCTATGGGGTGGGGGAGGGGTCAGTTTTGGAAGAACAGACAAAACAGAGGAGCAGTTACTGGAAAAGAGGTGGAGTTCAAGTTCAACTCCCTTTTAGAAGGTGTCCCTCTCCTTCCCTCACACATACTTCAGCTCGCAGCTGTTCCTTCTAACCCTGTTGTTCACTTCAGTGTGAGTATTTTAGAATACTGGAGAATTATGTTTCTGGAAGGAGTCTGTGCTTTTATAGATAAGGAGATGTAAGTCTAGTTAGGAAAAGACTTGCCCAGCATCTTTGCAACTCATTGGCTCCAGCAGGACTATAATCCAGTTCTCCATATCCCTCATCCCATGCTTTTTTTTTTTGAGTTAAGACCCACTATTGTGCAGAAAGACTTCTCTGGGATAGCTGTGGGCAGGGCTAATGGAGCGCTTGGTGCCTGGTCAGTGACAGAAGAGAAGGCATGAAGAGAAGACTCAGGCCTAACAGGGGTTACTGTGTGCTGAGTTCTGTCCCTGTTACCCAGTGGAGTCCCCTTTCGGGGAATCCTCACAGCCATCTGGTTGAATGGGAGGAGTTTGTTGATGAATCAGGAGTGGATTCCTCAAGACTTAGAGTTGCCTGCAGTGGAGGCTTGAAGGGCAATGGGAGAGCAGGGGTGTGGGGCACAGCAGCACTCACTGAGAGAAGTGCATTCCCAGATAAGAGAGGGTCATCTTTCTCTGTGCTCATGGAAGGGATTTCTATTTTGGTGGTAATCAGCAGTAGTGAATAAGTGTAGCAGAGAAGAGGCCAGAGGAAAGGAGGAGAAAGACTTTCTGGATTTTGGTTTTTGTTTTATGGCTGTTTGGCTATTTGGCTGCTTGGCTTTGACTCAGGAGCTTGGAACAGCTTTTGCCACTGAATCAGTGTGGTTGCCCTGGTAACAGGGTAGTTGTTGCTAGGCACAGGGAGCCGGGTTTACCAGCCAGAGTCCTCGGCTGTGACGTGATGTGTGCAGGAGGTTGTCATGTTGCCTTAGAGCCCAGAGGTGTTTGGGGTCTGGATCCTAGCTAGCAGTTCCCCCCTCTTCTCCCTCCCTGTGCCTGGTCTTGTCTGGACTGTATCTGCCCTGCTGATTCTCTGACTATATATGTCATTTTTGGGCTCTAGGAATGTAGTGTGCTTAAGAGCAGCCTCTTCTCTGGGGTTGGACTGAGTGGATTCAATCCCCTCCCTGACCCACAGGGTGAGTTTGGGACGGAAGGGGATTGGCCTCCGTTTAGGGCCGAGGGCAGAAGGTACTGCTCTCAGGCTTCATGGGGCCACATCCTTGCTGCCAGACCTAGACCTGGGCAAGCCCAGCTTCCGAGCTGGCTCTTCTCCCTCTCAGTCTGCTGTGACTGCTGGTCTGTTTTTTGACTCCTGTAGCTTAACACTCTGAATGCCATGGGATTCCCACTTTCCCATCTGTGCTCTCCAATGCTTGGCACTGTCTGTTGACCTTTCCCACCTTGAAACTAGCATTCAGAGCTCCCTGCAGTTTAGAGTGGGCCTGGGAGCCCCCAAGAGCCTGAAGATTGCCCACTCTGACTGGCAGGCAGATTCCATCCCATTTCTTGTTTCTGTCCTGGGGCAAACCCAGCTGGGCACCTTGACCATTGACTTTTTTCTGGGACCCTGTGGTCTCTGGCCACCTCTTGTTCCCAGGACAAAAGTGAGGGATGGAATAAACAAGGCCACAAATAACTTTTCATGTGGAATATCCCTGTACTCCGTAGATGCTTGCAACATCTCTACCCTCTAACTGCTGGCACCTAGGAAGCTTCTGTGCTCTATGACCCCTGAGGACGGGGTATAGACTTCTACTCTCTGCAGCTGGGACTGCATTGCTGAACCAGATAGGCAGTGGGCAGCATGGGCCCTGGCACGGCTCATCCCTTATCCAACTGGAGGACCTGAGGGCACGCCCTGAGCTGCACCATCCTCTGCCCCAGCTGCCTTTTCTGGCATCATGCCTGTGGAGAACCCAGGGCTACATGGAGCTCTTGGCAAGGATGCGAAGTGTTGAGGAACAGGAACAGGGGACACTGCGGGAGGAAAGAGTGAGATCAGGAGGGCTCGCTGTAGAAATCACAGGGGAAAAGAGGGTGCCCCTGACTTGCTAACCCCACCCCCGGGTTCTCTTCAGGTTCTGTGGAGCGAAGCTGTGAGGGGCAGGCTTGGTCATGGACCCGCTTTCAGAGTTGCAGGATGACCTGACCTTGGATGACACCAGCCAGGCTCTGAACCAGCTGAAGCTAGCCTCCATTGATGAGAAGAACTGGCCCTCAGACGAGATGCCCGACTTCCCCAAGTCAGGTGGGTGCTGCCGGATCTCAGGCAGCCATACATGCCTTAGAAGGGGAGACTCCCTTCCTGTCGGAGGAAGACCCCAGGAGTGCAGGAGGAGGGCAGGGAGACCAGCTCCAGGGTGGGACCGGTAGCACAAATCCTATGGTGGAGATGGGGAGGATCAAAGAACACAAGTCTTGGGGAGAACACTTCCAGTCCCCCAGATTACCCTCTGCCTTTGCCGTGTTCCTCAGATGACTCCAAAAGCAGCTCCCCGGAACCCGTGACACACCTGAAGTGGGATGACCCTTACTACGACATCGCCCGGCACCAGATTGTGGAGGTGGCAGGTGAGCACAGCCAGCAGTGCACCGTTTTCCTCCCGGTCTCACCCCCGGCCTCTCAGGGGGTAGGGACTGGGGGACCGGTGGGTGCCCACTCTGTGGTCTGACCCCTGACCCCGGGGCTCCTGAGCACACGTACCATTCTTTAAACTCACACACTTGATTGTGATGGCCACTTGGCCTGTTCACCTGCAAGCACATCCTGACCTGTGACCCGGTTGTCTCTATTGGCCAATGGCGTGTGGGAGGCGGTGTGGCTTAGGAGACTTTGAAGTCAGAAAGCCCCGGTTTGATTTCCAGCTCTGCTCTGTGAACTCATGTCCTCCTCAAAGGGTCGCTGAGAGGATTACAGTAGTGACTGTCTATCGGGGTCTAGCCTGGAGCCGAAACATAGTTGGCCCTGAATGAGCGGCAGTTGATCTCCCTTCCCTTTGTCCTGATGTCAGCCTTTCCATCCCATCAGTTACTGGGGAACCAGGGAGGTGCCAGTTCCTGTTGGGGAAGCCCTACCTCCAACGAAGTCTGGAATGGCAGAGTGTCCTTCCAG